TGTATATATCTTCTACTGCTACTAGTATTATTATTATTTGTAGATGTAGATCTCTATTATGTTATTCCACCTTTTTTTTTCGGCGTGTTTAGCAGCACGGTTGAATGCGCTCTGAAGAAGGCACGAACGACCCCCCCTTTTAAGGCCATTGTCGGTCGGGGAAAAATGGAGGTGTTTAACGAGATACGTGAAAATTCACACCTTGCTACTGTTGCGGTCGCATTCAATCCGTCCGTCCTTCTCCAATCCGTCTCCCTTCATCCAACAGCTGGTACCTTTCCGAAATACTTTGTATGTAGTATACACACACACTGATGTAGTTAACCGCATACAACAATACTAAATACCTTTTCCGAATGGACGGCGAGCGAGCGAGCAAACGAGCGAAGCCGTCCGTCTCTCCTTCTAACAGATTGCTCCGATAATGCTTCATGCATATGCCCGAAATGCCATTAGCGTTGATTATTTTAATACACATTAAGCTACGTAATTCATCATACGGGCGCATAATGTTTGTTGTACTTTCCTATACACATATTTTTATATTTCATTTCATTTGATGTATATTAGCTAATTTATATTCTAATTACATTTTCCCTCCACTTAACGTGGACAAGTAAATATTTGGAATGCAAATTAACCGAGCCTCATTAAATCCACTATATATTTTTTTTTTTTGCAATCAAACCAATTGCAGCTCATTCCAACTATTAATAAATATTTATTTTTTTATTTCAATTGTTGAAGTGTGTTTGCTAATAACGAATCTCATTAAATTTTGTGTTTGACTAAGAGCAAGTTTCGTGAAAATGCTTAAGCCTTAGATAATTAATACTCATTGTGCGACGGAACAAATTAAATGCAACGTAATCTTTCTGAATGCGATGTTTAAGTATACACAAAGTATTAACGATTAGATGACTGTAGGAAATCTTTCAAAAGCACATTTTAATACTTTGAATTAATCGATTTACAGTTTGAGGATTTTCATAGAAGAATACAAACATTTTGTATGTAGTTTTATTTCACATGTAAATATATAATTTTACTTGAAATTATAATAACAACTTTCAAATTGTTGATAAAATTTCATTTTTATAAAAAAAAAATCGTAAGATTTTTTGAAAATCCAGTATTTTTCAACAAATTGAAATAATATTAATACTTTAGTTGCAAGTCTTCAAATCTTTATAAAATTATGCTAAAAATCATTTAAAATTTTTATTAACAAATTTAAGATAATTTCTAACAAATTTATTCGAAAATAATTAAATAAAATTACATAAATTAAGAAAATTTCAATACTTTATAAAAAAATATATTTTTGTTTCATTGAAATTGAATATAATTTAAAAACTAAATAGATTGTTGCAAGTTTGTGCAATAATTTCATGAATTAATAATTTATCTTCTATTGAACTTTCAAGTTTTATTGTTACAATAATTTGAAATTTCAGATTATTAGTTACATTGATTAGTAACGTATTTTTGTTTGCAATATGCAAAATTTGTAAAAATTTAACAATTATAAGTTTTAAATCTTGTTTTCTAAAAATATTTGATTTCTCATTCAATGTAGTTTTTTTTTGTAAATCTGTAGATAAATTGTCGACTTTAATAAGTTTTAATTACGTACGTTTATAAATATAAAGCGGTGTTTAGGAAAAAAGATTTTGATTTAATTGTTGTTGTGTCAACTAACTAAGTTGTTTCCATAATCTGTTTGTGATGATTATGCGGTGCGGGTCGTCGAGTAACCCTTATGATTTCGGGGGTTGTATGGTAATTGATGATTAATTTACTGCTGTGGGGGCAGCAGTTTTAAAGTGATTTATTAGGTCCGATGTTTGCGTAGAGTGGAAGAGCCAGAGTTCATTTCGATCTGCTCGTTACTTATTATGTACTCATACATACATATACACATTTTTTTTTCCCTTCGTTGTGTGTTTTGTAGTTGTTGTCATGGGTTCATGTAAGTTCCCCCTATCTATTAAGTAAACAGCGATTGTGGCGAGTCAACGCGCCGTAACTAATCCTTAATCCTGAGTCAGGAGACCCCAATAATACATTATATACATGTAAAGGCCAGCAGCGAGATTTTTGCCGACGGATTAGGTTTCGCACCTCAAAAAGAAGGGATACAAGCACAACAAATGGATCTCATCTCTCATTCATCCGGATTTGGATTCGGATGAGATGCAAGGATTGATTGAAAGTGGGAACCGGAAGGGCGGTTTTTCCTTGCGAGAGGGGGGAAATGCGTTGGATCGGCGATGCTCGGTTTTGGAGCGCGGGGAACGCATCTGCCGTCGCGGGTATCAATTTCATTGGCCAGGGTCTCTTATTGGCCCACCGCACACTCAACACACGACACGACACAACACAGCACAAACACACACACACTCTGCACAAAACAACCGCGAAAACGTTACGCCCCCAAATTTTCACATCCACACCCAGCGACATCATAAAAATGATAATCGACGCCACTCCCAAACCTCCCCCCTCGGACCGCATCATAAATCAACATCACCGGCACCGGGATAATTGACCCGACCCGATCTGGGTCGTAAATCACTTCGCCTTTGCTTTACTCGTCGACACGTTTTTTTTTGACGTGTCCTGTCGAAACGCTGATCCACATTTTAGAAATTTGAACAATACTAAAATTGTGCATAAAGCAATTTAGTGAATCGTTGTTCATTGAAAACATTAAGTTTTTCAGTATTTACATCATCGATTTATATATATAATATAGAGAAAAATGATCAAATCAATCGGTTTTTCCTAGACTCGATTTGACATTTGCTGTCAAATTGGTGTTTTCAAGACAAAAATCGTGTACAAAGTAGAGATTCTTTCTTCACTGATAACATTAGATTTTTCAGTATTTAGATCATTGATTTGTATGTAGAATATTGAGAAAAGGAAATAAATCAAGTCGCTTTTTCTTAAACTCGATTTGACGTTAGCTGTCAAATACGTGATTCAGATTTGATTTGACGTTAGCTGTCAAATCGGTGAATTCCATTTTAACAATATCGAGCATATCAAAAATCGTGTATAAAGTAAAGATTCGTTGTTCATTGAAAACATTAGATTTTTCATTTACATCATCGATTTGTAGAATATTGAGAAAGGGAAATAAATCAAGTCGCTTTTTCTTAAACTCGATTTGACGTTAGCTGTCAAATCCGTGATTTAGATTTGATTTGACGTTAGCTGTCAAATCGGTAAATTCAATTTTAACAATTCGAACATATTAAAAATCGTGTATAAAGTAATGATTCGTTGTTCATTGAAAACATTATATTTTTCATTTACATCATCGATTTGTAGAATATTGAGAAAGGGATATAAATCAAGTCGCTTTTTCTTAAACTCGATTTGACGTTAGCTGTCAAATCCGTGATTTAGATTTGATTTGACGTTAGCTGTCAAATCGGTGAATTCCATTTTAACAATTCGAACATATAAAAATCGTGTATAAAGTAGAGATTCCTTGTTCATTGAAAACATTAGATTTTTCATTTACATCATTGATTTGTAGAATATTGAGAAAGGGAAATAAATCAAGTCGCTTTTTATTAAACTCGATTTGACGTTAGCTGTCAAATCCGCTATTCACATTTTTTACAATTCTAACAAAACTAAAAAGATGTATAAATTAATTTAAAGAATCGTTGTTCATTGAAAACATTAGGTTTTTGAGTATTTTCATAATTGATTTGTTTGTATTATATAAAGAAAAATAATCAAATCAAGTCGCATTTTACTGCATTCGATTTGACGTTTGCTGTCAAATTGGTGATTCACATTTTAACAATTCGAACAAAACAAAAATCGTGTATAAAGTATAGATGTGTTGTTTATTGAAAATATTAGGTTTTTCGGTATTTACATCAGCGATTTATATGTATAATATAGAGAAAAATTATCAAATCAATCACTTTTTCCTAGACTCAATTTGACATTTTCTGTCACATTCATGATTTCTATTTTAACAATTTGAACACAAATATAATGGTGTATAAAGCAGAGATGCGTTGTTCATTGAAACTATTAGATTTTTCAGTATTTACATCATAGATTTGTATGTAGATTATTGAAAAAAAAAGAAATAAATCAAGTCGTATTTTCTTAGACTCACATTTTTTTACAATTCGAACTCAAACTCGAATAAAACTCAATTTAAAGAATCTTTGTTAATTGAAAACATTAGGTTTTTCAGTGTTTACATCATTGATTTATTTATATTATATAAAGAAAAAGCATCAAATCAAGTCTAATTTTACTGATTCGATTTAACGTTTACTGTCAAATTGGTGATTCACATTTTAACAATTCCAACAAACTGAAATGATGCATAAAGCAATTTAGATTATCTTTGTTCATTGAAAACATTAGGTTTTTCAGTATTTACATCATCGATTTGTATAAATAATATAAAATAATCAAAACAAGCCGTTTGTTTCATGCTGTCAATTCGTAAATTTTGTACTAATAATTTTTTTTTTCAAAAAAATTCAAAATAATTAGAAAACGATTTTTTTTAGATATTTTAAAAATACATCAGAAAGAAGTTTTCTATGCGTATTTTATATTTAACTGCTGTAACGTAATGTTAATAAGAAACATATGTTTTAAAGTCGTAATAACCATGGAAAATAAAAATAAAACTATATATTTTGCTTAATACTTTTAGATATTCCTATTAAGTATTGCTTTTAAAAAAGAAATAAAATTATTTTTCTCAACAAATAACACACAACAATCAATTTAAGTTAATTAAAATCTTGTAACTAATTCATGTGTAATTAATTTAAAAATAATGATTTTCTTATGTAGTTAAGAAATTCAATTATCATTCATTATAAATTTTCCATATATGAAGAAAAACGATTATTTCTCAGGTAAATCTTTTTTTAATTATATGTTAATAAATTATTTCGGAATCAAATATAAATCAGTTTCACATGATTCAATTTCAATCATTTACATAAAGGAAATTCTTTAATAATTAATCTATTTTAGCAAAACTGTTGTATGTAATAAATATGTTTGTTAAAAATGTATTTTGTCAAATAAGAAAAAAAAACATATAAATATTGTTATGTAACACACAATGATAAGTTTCTTAATCAGAATGCATAGTTTCTCATAAACTGTTAGAATGTACGTAAAATGTCAATTACAGTTAAGACCGTTACCATGCGATATCTGCATTACTGCAAATCTGCAAAATTTCACGTTGAAAACGTGCTTTGCAATCTTGCGTAATCGAGCTTTTGCTGTAGTCATACATACATACACTTATACATCTCACCTCGTCTAACTTGTTAAATTGTAGTGAGATAAGTATAGAAAATTAAGTAAAAAAAAAACAAATAAATAAACTCTGACGAGAACTTTCTAATCCGATCGTACTAAAACATTTATCATCATCGTATTAACTACATTCATTTTCGAATACAATTATGATATTTCTATAGACAAATCATTTTAAGTTTATTTGGTTTTATATATAATATTAAGAGTTTTAATTTAATTAATATTGTACAAATCTAGAAGTATTGAAGCAAATTTAATAAGGTTAAGAAACAATATTTTTTAACTATATTGTAAAGGCTGTCCCAAAATTAATGCAAGATTTGAATTTGCCGCCATTTGTGCAGTAAAGTGTTAACAACCCCAAAAAACAATCATAATTTGAAAACTAAAAATTTGTAGTTTACATTCAGATTTGGTTGATTTTAAATGGTATAGATTGGATAATATAACTATGCTGATATAGATGTATGAATCTGTTAAATAATGAGTCTTCGTTTTTTTTTGTTATTGTTCATCAATGTCGTGCGTTGATGTTGAGAACAGGACACAGATGTCTCGTCTAATGCTGAGGGAAATAAGTTTTTTGTTTTTTTTCGGTTTCGCTCAATGGTCGTAATTGAATCCGATACGAATTGCAGTTCACGGACGTCTGTGTGACCTTAATTGCTTATGAATTAGTCTTAGTACAGGTGCTTCACCGAGCTGCACATCCGTCAACGACCGTCTGTCCGTCTGCACATCGAGAATGAGGAGCAATCGAAAACAAGCGAAAAAGAGCAGGAATTGCCTGGAGTGTGGGTGGCGCGCGGAAAATCTTTATCCGGAAAGAAAGAAAGAATGAATGCCGAAGGAGCGTGGAAAAATTCAGGTGAGTATGAAGTGGGGTTTGGGTTGGAAGAAGAGCGACGGCGGAAAATCTGCAACCTCCTCTCGCTCCGCCGCTCTTCTTTTCCCGACGGTATTAACATCCAGGTTATCAAATAACTTGGCAGTCGGTCCCCAGGGAGTTCTAGTTTGCATCCCCGGGTTTACAATAGCGCGCGGCATAATTCCCCGATTGCTTCCACGCCCTGCGAGGAGGGGGATGGATCGAGAAAGGGAGACGTGTATACATGGAGAGAAAGGGAGATAGATGGAAAGGAGAAGCAAAAGAAGGACGAGGCTAATGCGCAATCCTGGCTGTAGTGGGAAGGATGCACGGAAGGGGGCGCGCGCGGGTCGTCGGAAGGACCCCTTCGCAACGAGTGTGTCCGCTGACCGTGACAATTGAGTCCGAAAAGAAATTTCCTTTTTCAATTTTCATATTTTCCCTTCGCTCTTGTCTTTCCTCTCCTGTTCCACCTGCACCGACAATCCCTTAGGGGGTGGTTGGGGCGAAAGAAAGAGAGAGACAATTTCTGGTTTGCAGAAGCGATGAAGATTTGATTCCGGCGCGCCCTCCGCTTTGCAGTCGCAATAAATGAAACGAAAATAGCATTCATTCAATTACTGGATGCAAGACCTGCAGCAGTTAATTAACTCTGCAGCTCCCAACGCATTTGCCTTTACTCAATACAATTAAACATTCTTTACCTTTACAATCACTATTTCTTATGATCTAAATTTCTTAATATTTATTGAAAAGATTAAATTCAGCAAACAAAATATTATATTTAGTTCATTTAATTTAAGTTTAGATTTAAAAAAGTGAAAAGGTCAAATTGACCGGATAATAACTGTTACCGGTTAATACGCTTTTACTACAATAAAAAAATAGTTTCAATTTTCATAAACATTCAAATAAAATTACTATTGGAATAATATATTAATATCAGAATTAAGCAAAGTTAGGCGGATATATCAGCCGTTTGCTAAAGTAAGTTAAAGAAATATTGAAATATTTTATATTCATGTTATATGTATATTCTAAATTATGAAAAATCACCGAAACAATTGATAATATATAGAAAAACGCATAACAAAATTCAATTAACGTCTTGTACTAAAATCTAGAATGTCGTAAAACAATTGTCAATTTCATTACAAAACTCATATAGTTTGTTTGGTATTTACGAATAACTAAAAATTAATGGTTTTTATTACATAATGATAAAATTAATGTATTACAAACGCTTTATCTAAAATTAAATATATATATAAATAAAACCCTCACCTTTCATTCGACTGCATTAAAAGATATTTTAAATTCGGGACAGGAAATGACACTTAATACAAAAAAATAACAATTTTTGTTAACACGTATCCAGGTAACATAATGACAATAATCACAGAATTACCAATTTGTTTTGTTAAATGTCGAAACGGAAATGAATAATCAATGTTCCTCCATAGATAGATTAATTTCCTCTTGAAATTATTATATACAGGTGAACGGGTATGATTATAACGTGGAACGGTAATTTAATTAACAAACCAGAAGCTACGGACATCTTCCGTCCACTGGATGAACTTTGTACAAATGTTAGGTAATATCGAAGTGAGTATAGGCAACACTTTTACCATAATTTAACAAAATGAAAATTTAAATTCTCAATTTATTATAATTAATTATTATTGATTTATTTACTTAAGTATTTTTTATTGTTCCATATTTTTACTAAAGTTGTTTTATCCTGTATGTTTACAATTTGTTAATTAGATACACAAAAAAGTAATTAATTTTCATTTCAGGTAATTGATTTATTATATCTTGATATAATTTTGAGTTGTTTGGTAATTAGTATATATTTTGTACGTAATACAAGTATATTTGTATGTTGAAGTATACGTGTATAAACTACGCGTGACTTGGCAAGTAACGTGTCAAGAAAAAGTGACGTACATTAGAAATATTATTAGAATATAAAGTGTAATATAATTAGTACATTGTTATTATTAAGAATATCCAGAAAAAAAAAACTTTATGCTTAAAATCTTGAGAAAACAAATTTCAATATGAAGTGAAATATGTTTATGTAATTAGTTTATGAGATTGTATTTCAGAGAAAGTAAAAATTGATATGTTTGTTATGGTATTATATAAAATAGTTGAAGTTGTATAAACGATGATTATTGTTTGTGAAATGCTGCGGCTCACCTTTATCTCCGCATTCGAGGAAAGATAATTAAATAAATATTATTGACTCACGATATTAAACACCGTGCAGCGGTTGCGGCAGTGATAAGATTATTTCAATTGGTTTTTTCTCGTCTATTTGATTTGAGTCAGTGCGATCAAGTGCGATGGAATGGAAAGTGTTCATAATTGGCGTGAGCTTAATAGCGCTCTTGGGCGGCGCCTCCTGCTCGCAGGATCTCTGCCAGCAGGAAAAATGCCTGTGCGGATACAACATGTACAAGAACACGAAGACACATTTCAGCATGGATTGCTCTGAGAACGAATTCGATACTTTACCAAATATCAAAGAGATGCCTGAACATTTCGATGAGCTGGACGTGTCGCAGAACAACATCAAGCTGTTAACGAAAGGTTCTTTTGCTAGCGCAACACTCAAGGTGTTAATTGCAAATCATAATGAGATCACTGAAGTTTCTATGGAATTCCTGAAGAGGATTCCGAATTTGAAGCATCTAGATTTGAGTCATAATCATTTGAAGAAATTGGATGCTAAGGTGTTCCAAGCGGCGACGAGTTTGCATCATCTGGATCTGAGCTTCAATAAGTTGAGCACGCTTCAGGATGGGCTTTTTAAGCCGGTGAAAACGCTGCAGTTCTTGGATTTGAGTTACAACAATGTTGGGAGTTATCTGATGAATTTGAAGGATTTACATGATCCGAAACTTGGCATCACCAAAGATCTTCCTAACTTGAAGCTGAACCGTTTGAACATCACCGATTTACCAACTGATTTCTTCACCAATTCGTCGCTCATCTACTTGAGTTTAGACGATAATCGTTTGAAGGAGATTCCAAAGCTACCTTACACCATCCAATACCTCGATTTATCCGGAAACCTTTTCACCACTCTCAACGTCAAGCATCTGAATTACCACAAGCTGAAGAAGTTGAGGTTGACGAGACTCCCGTTGCTGGAGAAAATCGAGAAGTACGCTTTCTATAATCTGCAGGATTTGGAGTTCCTTTACATAGAGAATTGTCCAAGATTGATGGATTTCAACGATATGGCTTTTGGAGCTCTTGTGGATCACGAAGGGCTCAAACTGAAGAGCATTTCTTTAGCAGGAAATGCCCTCAACAGATTGAACACGACATATTACCATCTCTTCAACGATCTGGAACGCGTCGATCTCAGCAACAATCCGTGGATATGTGATTGCGACATCTTATGGTTCAAACTGATCAAAAACAAATTGATGAACAAGAACAGTGTTAGGTAAGAAATCAACAAAACTACTGATAGTAAACTTGAAAATCTCAAAGTTAACATTAATTTTATTGTTGTTGTTGCTTTTTAGGTGCGCTTTGCCTTCTAAACTGAGGAACAGTTCGATCCTGACATTAACCGAAAGGGATCTGCCCAAATGCACTGTGGGATCTGGCTGGAACACGCACAAAGTCTTGGTTTCCATCATCGCCGTCTTATGTGCAATGTTGGTTGCCATCGTCGCTTACATAATATACCTGGGCCCTTTCAAATCTGTCGTTCAAAATAAGTTTGTTGGAACACAATCGCCTTACACAGTTGTCGTTCGCGAAGACATGATTACCACGTAATGATTTATTGATAGTTTTTGGATAAATAAAATCGTTTATAAGAATATCTAGTCTTTTTTCTCTAGTTTTTTATGTCTTATAAGATTTCGTCTATGCGGCGATAGATGTCGCAAAATACAAATTTCAAAACACACTTGATTATGTAATGAATCAAAAAATTTTAAATACTTAAAGAGTATGTTTGATATTATAATTGCCAAATTAGAACAATAAATTTCTATTAAAAATAAATAAAGTGTCTTTACATTTTATTTAATTACTCAATAACCAACAATGCTAATTAAACCAACAAATGTGTAAATTAAAAACGAAACTGTAATCTTTCCAATGAGCTTACTGTCAGTTTAGTAGAAGTAATGGTTCTTCTTCAACAAACTGTTAAATTTGAACAATTAAATTCGTCTTTGAAAAATGAAATGTCTTTACATTTTATTTAATTACTCGATAACTACCAATTCCAATTAAACCAACAAATATGCAAATTAAAGATTAAACTGCAATCTTTCCAATGAACTTATTGTCAGTTTAGTAGAAGTAATCGTTCTTCTGCAACAAACTGTCAAATTTGAGCAATTAAATTCGTTTTTGAAAAATGAAATGTCTTTACATTTTATTTAATTACTTGATAACTACCAATTCCAATTAAACCAACAAATATGCAAATTAAAGAAGAAACTGTAATTTTTCTAATGAGCTTACTGTCAGTTTAGTAGAAAAAATGGTTCTTCTGCAACCAACTGTCAAATTTGAACAATTAAATTCGTCTTTGAAAAATGAAATGTCTTTACATTTTATGTAATTGCTCGATAACCAACACTGCTAATTAAACCAACAAATAAGCAAATTAAAGATGAAACTGTAATCTTTCCAATGACCTTATTGTTAGTTTAGTAGAGGTAATCGTTCATCTGCAACAAGTTGTCAAATTTGAGCAATTAAATTCGTCTTTGAATAATTAATTCTCTTTACATTTTATTTAATTACTAGATAACCAACAATGCTAATTAAACCAACAAATATGAAAATTAAAGATGAAACTGTAATCTTTCCAATGATCTTATTGTCATTTTAGTAAAAGTAATCGTTCTTTTGCAATCAATTATCAAATTTGAACAATTAAATGCGTTTTTGAAAAATTAAATGTCTTTACATTTTATTTAATTACTGGATAACCAACAATGCTAATTAAACCAGCAAATATGTAAATTAAAGATGAAACTATAATCTTTCCAATGAGCTTACTGTCAGTCATGTAGAAGTAACCGTATTTCTGCAATACACTTCCAAAATTTGAGCAATTAAATTGAATGTTTGAACATTGAGTGTGTTAATGTGTTGATACCACAAATTACATATTTTCGTGTTCAAATCAGTTCTAAATAAATGAGCTGTTATTTAATATTCGATTAACTTATCTAGTCATTCCAATTTATATATGAATGCTTTTATTCTGTTAAATTCTTTCGGATTACGTGAGGTCAGTAATTGCAGATAAAACAGAGAGAAAAACAAATTTTATACGTTTTTTCTTTGTATTACTATGTTTGAAGCTGCTTTCTTTATATCGGTGTTTCTAAACGCTGAACGCTTCCGATCAGGAAGCGGCTTTTATCTAATCTCGCGCTATTGGGGATGTTTATATTGTTGGCGACTGCGGGACGTTTCATTCTATCCCAACTGTAGTATTCTTTATCAACTCGGCATTTAAAGGATATAAATGTCTTTCTTCTAGGTGATAGATCGATTACGTCATTGATATCGCTGCTACGCAATTGCTTCGAAATTGTGGTAGGCTAGGTCATGTAATCGTGTAAACAGTTTCAGACCGGAAATCTCCAGACCTTTGAAATCGTCCTCCTGAAACGTTCACTGTATATACATGGCCTTTCATACGCAAGATAACAACCGTGGAATTTTCGTTTCTATGTGTCTTAATTATTGTTTTTCAGGCGCCGAATTATATCTATTTTTAGTACCAATTCAATAACAAAAAAATATTTATTTTAATCTCAGTTATATGCAAATAATACAATCGATACACACAATAAATATACAAATAATTTCCGTAGCTAAATAACTAAATTTGAAGATTTCAATATATCAAATTTTCTTCATTAATAATTATTTCAAAAATAATTTAAATGTCAATTAAAGACTTGTGAAAATGTCATTTTCTTATATAGTTTACTTGTTTAATACCAACTTTTATTTAATTATACAAAATTTCTTACAAAATGTAATTCAATTTTAAGAATTAATTGAGAAAGAATGCATTAATTTCTAAAATTGATCGGTTAATCTAAGATTTCTATTAAAATTTTCTTATTTCTTTTGTAATTAACAATCATAGTAAAATTATGAATTATTGACCTTTCTAATAATAATTATTCATACCAACTTTGTTTCGCATCGTTATTTTTAGTAATCGTTCTTCTGCAACAAACTAACAAATTTGAACAATTAAATTGGTCTTTGAAACCGTCTCTATAACCAACAATGCTAATTAAACCAACAAATATGCAAATTAAAGATAAAACAGCAATCTTTCCAATGAGCTTATTGTCATTTTAGTAGAAGTAATCGTTCTTCTGCAATCAATTGTCAAATTTGAACAATTAAATTCGTCTTTGAAAAATTAAATGTCTTTACATTTTATTTAATTACTTGATAACTACCAATTCCAATTAAACCAACAAATATGTAAATTAAAGATAAAACTGCAATCTTTCCAATGAGCTTATTGTCATTTTAGTAGAAGTAATCATTCTTCTGCAATCAATTGTCAAATTTGAACAATTAAATTCGTTTTTGAAAAATTAAATGTCTATACATTTTATATAATTACTCGATAACCACCAATGCTAATTAAGTCAGGAAATATGCAAATTAAAGATAAAACTGCAATCTTTCCAATGAGCTTATTGTTATTTTAGTATAAGTAATCGTTCTTCTGCAATCAATTGTCAAATTTGAACAATTAAATTCGTTTTTGAAAAATTAAATGTCTTTAAATTTTATATAATTACTTGATAACCAACAATGCTAATTAAATCAAGAAATATGCAAATTAAAGATAAAACTGCAATCTTTCCAATGAGCTTATTGTCATTTTAGTAGAAGTAATTGTTCTTTTGCAATCATTTGTCAAATTTGAACAATTAAATTCGTTTTTGAAAAATTAAATGTCTTTACACTTTTTATAATTACTCGATAACCAACAATTCCAATTAAACCAACAAATATGCAAATTAAAGATAAAACAGCAATCTTTCCAATGAGATTATTGTCATTTTAGTAGAAGTAATCGTTCTTCTGCAATCAATTGTCAAATTTGAACAATTAAATTCGTTTTTGAAAAATTAAATGTCTTTACATTTTATTTAATTACTTGGTAACTACCAATTCCAATTAAACCGACAAATATGTAAATTAAAGATGAAACTGCAATCTTTCCAATGAGCTTATTGTCATTTTAGTAGAAGTAATCGTTCTTCTGCAAGCAATTGTCAAATTTGAACAATTAAATTCTTTTTTGAAAAATTAAATGTCTTTACATTTTATATAATTACTTGATAACCAACAATGCTAATTAAATCAAGAAATATGCAAATTAAAGATAAAACTGCAATCTTTCCATTGAGCTTATTGTCATTTTAGTAGAACTAATCATTCTTCTGCAATCAATTGTCAAATTTGAACAATTAAATTCGTTTTTGAAAAATTAAATGTCTTTACATTTTATTATAGCTTATTGTCATTTTAGTAGAAGTAATCGTTCTTCTGCAACCAACTGTCAATTTTGAACAATTAAACTCGTCTTTCAAAAATGACTTCTTGTAATTATTCATACCAACTTTCTTTCGTTTCGTTATTTTTTTTATCTAAACAAAAACTTTATTTCATTTCATTTCACAAATCAGTTTTGATACCAACATTGTTTGTTTTTCACTAGATTAGTTCAATAATTTACCATTATTTTTGGTTAGTTACTGTTTCAATAGTTCAAAGTATTAACGTCATCGTTGTCATGGATACAGTAGTACTTTATATTTGACAGTTTAGAAGAAGTTAATCATGGATATCAGTCATTTACTAATTGAGGATAAATCGAAAGAAAACTTGAGTTAACTACATCAAATGGTAAGTGCAAATGTATTAAATCTACATCATAATGTAAGGATACCATTTTGAAATGCAGTTTTGCACTCGTAACCCACATCGAGGATAAATACTAACTATATATGTATATATATATTTAAAAAAAATAACAATTGCAAAAGACGACCATCGTGTGATTATTCTATTTTTAATAATGTTATGACGTTATGGTACGGGACTTCAAACAGACGCAAATCTGTTAGACAAAAGGCTATCGACCTGCAGTCTTTCTGACCTTCTATTTTTATTTTTCCTCATCATTGACAGACTGTTATCATTGCGCACTAGATATGCACAAAGAGTTTCAAGCAACTTACGAAAAAATAAAATCTGATTGAAATCAATATTCCTTAACAGCAATGTTATTCTACAGTTACCCTAACATGAAAATAAAATAGGTTACAAGTTGATCCGTTAGAAAAGAACAAAAAATGCTTTTGATGATTATTACCTAATGATTTGAGTGTAACAAAATGTCGAGAATGATGTAATTTTATTGTAACCGATCATCGACTCTGATTTTCCGAAGATGCAATATAATGTTGTCGTAGAAGGTCGTTCAACCTCTTCAAAAGCATCCTTTTGTTGCGTAACGAAAGAACGCACAAGAAGTAGAAATTTCTTCTTAGGCGTTTGCAGTTTACGGTATTTAAAGATCGACTTCGACTTGTTGTTTTTTGCGCGCATTTATTAATGGAAATCGGAAGACTTCTATTATTTGTCCACAAAAAAAGGAATTGAAAAAAATTAAATTAAAACGTGAACATCCGTGGGAAAACTGCAACGCAGAGCGATGCACTTTTCGCGCGGCGGTGATGAAATTGGACCGTGTCCGGAGTAAAATTACCTAAAATACGTGTTCAACTCTAATTAACAGTTCGAATTA